TGGACTCGAATGGTGGAAAACCATGACTGAATCCATGGAGAAGCTGGGCTTTAAACACCTGCGCTCCGATAAAGGAATCTACATCTATACCGATGCAAAGACAGGCTCGACTTGTATCGCCATAGTCTACGTCGATGATGCCTTATTCTGCAGCATTGACCGCAAACTCGCAGAACGGCTCAAGAATGCATTTGCCGAAAAATAAAAATGTAGAGATCTTGGTGATGCGAAGGAATTCTTACGCATGCGCATCACTCGGCAGGCATACGTGGTTATGACAGACCAAGTTGCTTACCTCGAGAAGGGGCTTGACTGCGTTGGGCTCACTAATGCTCGACCTGTCGCCACTCCTCTTCCCTCTGGATATTATCCGTTGCCAAATGAGGATCCAGTAGATGAAGTTCTACGGCACTGGTTCCAGACCGTCATTGGGTCGCTAATGTACCTCATGCTGGGTACACACCCTGACATTGCATTCACCATCACAAAGCTGTCTTGACAAGCTGCGAACTCATCTGATGAGCACCTTGATAAAGCTCTCCATGTCTGCCGCTACTTAGTTGGCACTAAGGATTACCGTCCTGTATTTGACGGCAGATCAGGCGAAGGCATCTTTGCGATGACCGACTTAGATTGGGCTTCTGACCCACGCCACAGGTGATCGCAGACTGGATACTTCCTGTTACTTGCTCGTGCTTTGTTCTCCTGAGTTTCACGCGTGCAGAAAACAGTTGCGCACTCCTCCACAGAGGCTGAGTACATGGTGTTGAGCGATTGCTCACGTCAAGTAGCGTGGATTCACCAGCTCTTTGGGGAAATTGGCTACGATCTTGGAGCAATTGAGATCTCAAGTGACAACCAAGGCGCTGTATTCATCACGTCTAACTCCATCACTGAGAAACACTCAAAGCACATTGACATCCAGTATTATTATATCCATGAGGTCATTGCGTGAGGTCTTGTAGATGTCACATACATCAGCGGCAAGGATAATCCTGCCAACTTGCTCACAAAGAACTCTAGTCTTTCCAAAGCTCCAAAACATAGCTGTAGCAAGGCTTTCCCACAGGTTAGTCGGCCCAGGCCAAACTACAGTAACATGTCACGGCAGTCAGTAAACCTCTTTCCAAATGAACTTGGGACCGCGTAACGCGTAATGCTCAAATGGCCTGAACTTAAGATCGAATCTATACAGTATTTGAGATCTGGTCTATAAGTCCAGCTGAGTGACATTCATCATGGCCTGACAACCGTTACTGTGAACTTATTTAACTCTGTAAAAAGGGCAACACATGTGAATAAGCCTTGTCGGTGTCTCTAGCCCGAGCACCGGGTAACACAAATAGGTTCACAACAGGGTACAGTACATGTTACCGAACCCGGAATTGGTTTGGAACTTCATGGTGTGCTATGTGTTACGAACTTCTGGTCGAAAAACTACAGTACCTAGAATCCTGTAGGCAGCATACTCCTATCAAAGTATGTACAGACTCAGCCAATACTCAGCGTACTGTAAGCTGTATACTCTGTCCAATTTGCCTATGGAACCTCGGTAGACTCAGTACACTATAAGCTGTATACCCCTACCAAACCTGCTACAAGTCCAAGACAGACTTATGACTCTGTAGGCCTCATACTTCAACCAAAACCCCTACAGACTCGGCCAGTGGCTGGTATACTGTGGGCAGTCACTAGTGGCCTGGCTCACTTTTCCGACGCAGAATAGGGTAAGATTAGGGTCAAAACGTGGACAAATGCTTCTATGTCCACGTTCTAAGCCTAATTTCACCCTATTCTGAGGCAGAGAAGTGAGCTGTGCCTCTAGTGAGTGTACCTCTACCAATACCCCTACCTACCTGGCCAATACCTGGCATACTGTAAGCTAAACCCCCCCAATCCAAACTCTTACAGGCTCAGGGTAGACCCGGTATACTACACACTGTATGCTCCTACCAATACCCTCACGAACATGACATACTAGGAGCCATATACCTCTACTAATATCCCTGCAGACCTGGCATATTATAAGCCATATCCTCCTATTAAAACCTCTACAAACCAGGTCTACTGTGAGCTATATTCACCTACCAATACCTGTAGAGATCTGGTATACTATATGCTATATACCTCTACTAATACCCCTGTAGACTAAAGCTAGACTCGGCATCCTGCAAGCTATATACCTCTACCAATAAACCCAGCTAATACACTGTATACCGTGGCCACCATACCCTTACAAAACCCCCTACAAATCTGGCCTATATCTGGCTTACTGTTAGCTGCATACCTCTACCAATACCCTCACAGACCTGGCATACTGTAAGCTATGTACCCCTATGAAACCTCTACTAACCTACCAGACTATGTGCTCTATACTCTAACTAATATTTTGAAGAGCCTGTCCCACATGATGGGATCACAGGAATTTTCCCACTGGTCATGGAGTCAAGCAAGTTGCGACTCGGTGACCAGTGGGAAAGTTCATGTGATCTCATCATCTTGTCCACATGTTCTACCTCAAACATGTGTATATCTCTTCAGTTAACCACTTTGGCATGGTACTCCTATTAATATTTGAGCCAGTATCTCAACCTCCAGAGAATTTGAAAAATAATGGGATCACATGAATTTTCCCATAAGGTGCCATGTTGAGCAAGACTTGACATGACACCTTGTGGGAAAGTTCACGTGATCCCATCAATTTTGAAGCGACCTCTTGTATTGAAAGATCAGGCATAGGTATGGCTAATCCCAATGGTGGGCTCATGGTATTAGGCTATAGGAGCTCAGATCAGCTATGATGTTAGGGAAAGGTTGAGAACTGCACTTGCAATTGTGAGTTTTCTAGTATAAGGCTAGAGGAGGAGCAGATAGGTACTGTGCAACATCTGTTGAATGAATTGCCTAGATCTTTGAACTGCATAATTCTGTATATGTACAGAAAAGAATCTGATACCAACAAAAGC